TACTCTTTTCGAGAAATTCCTGGGGATTTTTAATGACCACAGAGAGTCAGGACCTCAATTTTACATCTCATCTGAAGGACGGCGCCTGTTTACAGTATAGCATCCCCATCACTTTACTGGGGCATGAGGGCCCACACAGACCACAGGTTGAGCGCCCCCTACTGGTCCCCCTAACACCTCTTCCAGCAGCAACCTTAGCTTTCCCAGGAGGTCTCCCATCCAGGTACTGAGCAGGCTCACACCTTCTGAGCTCCAGTGGGCAGCCAGTTGTGAGCTGTGGGGTGAAGTTCCAGTGTTACTGTGGACTTACTGGAGAGCCCATCTTGCCCTTTTCAGCCATGTTCTTGCCCATCCTCCATGTGTGCTGTAGAACACTGTGGTAAACAGCAGACAGATCAATTAAATCCAAAGAAGACCAGTACAATGCTGTCCAAGTGCAAGACAGGTTATAAAAGAAGAGAAGACCTTTTGACCTATCTAGTCCATTTGGTTTTTTGTATCTAATTGATACAATGATCTCATCCAGTAATTTCTTGAAAATAACATTGTTGTGTAGCCAGGTCCACACTCTCACAACCCTTTGTGTAAAGAACTGTCTTCTATACTATGGTAAACCCTTGTAGGAAAACTTTCCTAGAGTCACTGTCACTAAAGTGACTTAATTAAGGGCTGTCGACCATAAAGTTAAAGGAAAAGATGTAAGAAACCTTTTAACAGTTTTTATTGTTACAATTCCTATTAAAGGTGTTGTAGTCTTACTAAAACTGTGAGGATAAAGTGGAAACTGTCAGCTTTTACATCTATACTGTATATTCCTATTCTCTGATGCTTCTGTATAACACAACGCGATGAATCCATCATCTTAAATAAGATGTACTTGATCTTAATTGCACACAGTCTAAAGACCCAATGACTTTAGTTCATATCGAGCTCATACAACAAAAAGACATTTCTAGTCTGCTCCGTGGACTCAATATCTGGTTGGCACCTAGGTCTATTTCTGCTTCAGTTAAATTCCAACCTTTTTAATTTAGTTAGTCATGGATAAACCCTTTAAGGGGTGGAGCGGTGACTAAGGATCTGTGCCAGTGGCTGGAAAGTTGCCGGTTCAAATCGCATGGCTGGCAAAGAAAATCTACTCTGTTTGGCCCCTGAGCAAGGCCCTCAACCCCAACTTCTCCAGGGGTGCTACACAATGGCTGACCCTGCATTCTGACCCCAGGCTTCTCCCTTCTCTCCCTGTCTGTGTGTCTCATGGAGAGCAAGCTGGGGTATTGCGAAAAGACAAATTCCTAATGCAAGAAAATTGTATGTGGCTAATAAAGTTCTGTTATGTGAACTCCAGAAAGAGAATATATTTTCATATCATCTCTAATCTGTGACACCTTTCCTGGACAAGCAATCGGTAATGTAGACACCGAGCCCTACTTTTCCTTCCCAATGTTCAGAGCTCAGATGGCCGTGTTCAAGCAGTCCTGACATTCCAGTTACTTCTGCACAAGAGTTCACTGGCTCACTGGATTGCTTTATGACTGCGATCAGGGAAGGTCTGCTGTGCCCCAGGAAGGGAATAGGTCAGTGAAGGCAGCTCTGTGCGCCTGATGGAGGTTCTTCAAACAGAGGCACTCAAGACCCCCGGAGCTGCAGGGAGCTCAGTGCCTTATTAAGGAGTGTGAAGCCTGGGAAGTCAGTCTGTCTGGTCTGTGTCTCAGAGCAGGAAAACACAGCCCCCCTCTTGCCCTCTTCCAGATGCGAGCCTTCACAAACATACGCTGCCCCTTTTTTTCTCTAAATAAGGCAGCCTTATCTACGTTCCTGGAACTTCGGCATAACTCCCAAATATCCCAAAATCCACTGTGGTAGCAGCAGGCCTCTGCTCACACATTCTTTTGCCTTCTATGGGTAAATCCCAGGGAGGGGCGGGCCCTGTTGGGAACAGTCTCAGCAGCCCATTGGCTGGGAGGGGGAGAGGAGGTGTGGCTCACCGAGCTGATGCTCTAAACAAACTTTTTAGCTCACTGAGAGGTTTGGAAGCAGTTCCAGACAAAGGCGAGAGACGTCCTAACTCACCACCACCCGAAACCCAGAGGTGAGATAAGCTGTTATTTCTGTTATTGGAAATGTTTCTCCTGCTGCAGTGTATTCTCCCCACTTTTTCATAGATTCTTCACTGAAACTGGAATTCTCTGTACAGTGTCAGATCTCATGGAGTGATGGGGCTAAGTTTTCTGGGTAATCCTCAGAGACTGGGTGGGAGCTGTGTGAGGGGTGGGAGCTCAGGAACAGGGCAAGAGGTGTAGAAAAACCTGAGCATCATCTCTTCCAGGTAATATAATCCTTCAGCTCGGCCTGACTGTGGACTTATGTGGCTCTATCCCTGCTGACTCAGGATTAGATAAAAGTATTCCACTATCCTCAAAGTGTTTCAGCTCTTCTCTGGAAGTTTCTCTTAAACCGGGTTTTTGATTGATTTTTCCCCCCTTAAACCAGAGGATTCACTAAGCGGTTTTGCTTCAGTAAAAGGGCACTGCAGTCTGTCCTCTTTTACAGGGTATTAGAAGTGAGCCAGACAAAGAGACTGTGTGTCAGCACTCAGCACTGTTAGCCAGGTTGGTCTGTCAGGTTAAAAACCGACGACATGGCCTAGCTGTGATGACGAGACACACAGGGTCGAAAATAGCCTGGAAATTAAAGTCTCTCACTGGTGCGTGCCGATTTGTTAACCTTTACAGGAAAGACGCATAGTTGGGGTTAATGTGAGCTGTAGCATAAGGAACAGCACAGCGTGGTTAGGAATTTAGCTTAAGTTTAAATTATTTCAAATGACAAATGGATCGAAAGAGACTGAAGATGATGACTGTGATGAGATTTTTTTGCTGTCTGGATTATATTTAGACACCATATTCTTTCCTTTTTCCATCAGGAAAGAGTAGAAAGGTGTGACTCTGACGGGCAGTAGGCAAGGGACACTGTGTTACGGTGTTTACGGTTGACTGGTGCTTTGCTTTAGCAAGCAGTTGCGATAAAGGTTTTCACTTACGACGTACGCGCCCTACCACAGCCGCCAGTGAAAGAAAGAAAGGACATCCCCAGTCTGCTTCCCAGAGGAACTGTACTGCTTCAGAATCCAGGCATCCACTGCTGGAACGCGGCGCTGCCTGTTTTGTTTTAAACAACGTAAAACACGGACATCTAGGGCCCTTGGGATTTCAGCGCCATCAGGCTCAAAAGTCCTTCCTTCAAAATGGTAGTTCGCTTCCTGACTTCCTCAGCCGGCACTGCAGGCTCCCGGAGCAGAGTGAGAACAGCCCGCCTGTAGCTCAGCTGGCTTCAGACCCTCCCCCCCAAAAAAAACTGTAATGATAAAGAGCACAGCTTAGGAAAATGAGGATGGAGCAGACACAGGCAGAAATACACACTGGGTTCGAAACTTTCCGCTGAATCAGAAGCATCGTCAGGTTTAGCAGAAGGTAAAAAGAAGAAAAAGGCTACTGACAAGCTGCACTGTGGTGGGCTGTGGTCATCTTATCTTCGGGAGGGATTTGTCCTCTATGCACGCGGTTCTTCTTATCTCCAGGAGGTTCCTATCCTGTACATTCCTAACATTTCCCGTACAGCACAGTGCTTCCAGCTCCTGTACACCTGGAACTGTCAGCAAACCCTGGATTTCTTCCTGTCTGTCCGAAGATGCTTTTGTGCCACTGACTGTAACTGCTGTGCATTTTGTTCGGCGTCTTTATGGTGGTGGGTGGCATGGTGGCACAGGGTTAATATTGCTGCCACACAACGCTGGGCCCCCGGCTTCAACTCCAGGGGTGCTGTCTGTGTGGAGTTTGCATGTTCTCTCTGCATTCGCATGGGTTCCCCTGGGGTGCTCCAGTTTCCTCCCACAGCCCAAAGACATGCTGGTACGTTCATTGGCAATTAGCCTCTGTAAAGATGGCCGTGGTGTGAGTGTGTGTTTGTGTTTGTGTGTGCCCTGGAATAAAAATGTCCCATTCTGCCTTGGGCCCAATACCAACATGACTCTGAATTGTATAAGCTGTTATTGAAGGTGATGCGAAGATGATGTGATTTTTTATTTGGTTTTAACACTGTAATACCAGGTAACACACTATAACGTATATGCTATCATTACTTCCTGCACGTCTTTTTCTCCAAACTGCTATATAAAGCACAGAGAAGGCCTGTTGAACAGTAAAATAAACCTACAGTAAAGGCAGGAAAATATCAAGATGACTTAATTGAGCAAGGTTTTTACAGGGTGAAATTGCGCACATGAATAAAATAATTCAGTGGTGAGTCAATAATTCAACTGACTGAGTGATAAAACATGGCAGGGAGGCGTGGTTTTAGTGTCTGGCCTTGCTGGCTTGATTGTAGGCAACACTAGCTGGCTGTGTGTGGGCTTGAGTGATTAGAGGGCGGATTTGCCTATTTGGTAGAGTTGAGGTCCAGGTACATAATGTGGCCTTGTTTCTGGAAGGTGACATGCGAGATGGGCACTGTCCTCTGCCACAGCACAGGGATTGATACCCTTTGCTGACATTGTGTTAATGATTAGAGCTGCATAGTTTCTCTCACACTAGTTTTGTTTTTACAGCTTGGCAATCATACAGGAGCACAATAGGATCTTGTGTTCTTCCGAGCCAGTGTTATCTAACAGGTGGAGCTGTTGGAACGTATAGAACTTTTGTACTATTATAGCTGCTGACAGCAAGGATATTAAAACCCAAGCTCTGCAAGGGGAGCAGATGTTGCGATTTAGCTTTTATATAGCAGCACACATGAAGACTAAAGACTGTCATGAACCCATGAATAGCAACATGGAAAACAGCTAAAAACTCCACACCTGCAGGGGCAGGTATGAATGGACTCTGTAGACCCAATAGGACCCCTGGGGTGAAGAAGAAGAAGGCCCCACGGCCGAAACGTTGTGTTTCTTTTCTTCTCTTTTCAGCATGGAATAAACCTGTACTTGATCCTTTGCAGCCCACGCCTGCTGACGCAGCTGCCTACTTGAACTACTTCTCTCTGCATCAACTCTGACATAGTATCAAAAACGCAGAGTAAAATGTGTCAAAGCAGGTTTATGGTACATTGTGGTATAGTAACACAGACACAAAGCCAGGGGTGTGAGCAGGATCAAACCAGGGTGAAGAAATAACTGTGTAGACCTTCACGAACCTGAGGTTCCAGGGGTGTTTTCAGGCAGGCTTCTGTCTCTCTGAAGTGTGACACCCTGTTGACCGGGTGCTTTCTAGAGCCAGCTCTGGCTTGGTGCTCTGGAGAAATACAGTCTGCTGCTGGTGCAGTGTGAGACTGTGCTCTCGGGGGTACAGCAGCAGGCGGTGTTGTTGCCTCTAGAACACGCTCTTGGGGAATCTGTCTTGA